AATATCCAGGGATGGACATAATTATTATGGTATCAAGTTCTTTAATGCTCTTTCTGAGTCAGTTAGACGTTTCAGTACTACTGCATCGTTCAAGACCACACTGTCATCATACCTAAAGCGGACAGCTTTTAATAGTACTGATAATAACTTTCTAGTCAATGACTTCAGTGACATACAATGATTATATTTTTTCTTTTTTAATATATTTTAGTGTAATTACTTATGATTTGAACTTATTTGTATTTTTATCTTCTAAATGTGTCTGGCTTGTTTTATTTACTATTAATGCTGAGTGTTTATGTACTTTTTTTGTGCACTGGAAGCTTTTTTTTTTTACGTATGTGAGTACTTCTGCATGCTCAACATCAATAAAGATTATTATTATTATTATTTATTGGTGTGACACCCTCGTTTTTGAGGGCGATTTAAATCCGTTGATTTTATTCTTTTGATGGCTCTAGTAGTATTGGCGCGTTTATCTTTTGTGATCTAATCTAAAATTCAACAAACTTCAATTAAAGCGGCTAAAGAATAATTGAGATTGGTGTTTGACAGACTGTACTGAAAATGAGGCATTGAACATTTTCAGCCATCTTGTATATGCTTTGTTCATTAAGCACACCTGCACAGCAAAGAAAGTAGCGGAAATGCAAGATGTGTTCGTAAAAAATCGACCGGTATACCCACAACAACAAAAGAACCTACATATTTTTACCTATCATAACGGACCCAAAAACCACCCTCACCGTTTTTTTATTAATGACCTATATCTAGGAAAGGGTTTCGGCATATATTTCCTCCTTCATTAGGTATAGCTAGCGGCGCCCTTGCCTCTAAAAGGTGCACGACAGGTGCATGTCAGGAAATAAACAGCTGGACTCAAATCTGGCACTCGAAAGGGTTGTAATTATAGGTTGATCTGGACTAATGGTGAACGTTTAAGGCTGATGGCAAGGATAGATGTGTGGAGATTTGGAAAAAATAATTGGAAGGTTTTCGTTCATTATGTTTTTTTTATCTTTTTTGATAGGCTTGTATACCTACATATCATCGGAATTTTGTTTGATAGGTATGTATTTCTTTTCAGAAAGGTGCGTATACCTATCATACATATATGATAGGCATAATTACTAGCCAAAAGCTGAAAAGCTTAAAATCAGCTCTTGATGGTCACTTATTTATGAATTATAATTTTAATCATGATCACAGTTGACCTTGATGCATAGACATCTAGATAAAAAAATGACGTTAAAGTAGGTAGGTCTTGTCTTGGTTATTAATAACTAAGCTTTCAAACAAGCAATGCGTTATGCCGTTGTGTGCTGACATATGGGCCAGTAATTTGTACATTTTGCATCATGTGGAACAACAAAAATGCCCCAACATTCGTGCCGCAATGTTTTCGATCAATTCGTCAAATCAAAATGATAGCCAAGAACATTAATTTTGTTTAAGCAAAATTATCAAACAGTAAATGACTGGCCTCTATAAAATGACGTGTCCAATGGATACCATAAACATCGGCCCGGGTAGCTCAGTCGGTAGAGCATTGGACTTTTAATCCAAGGGTCCAGGGTTCAAGTCCCTGCTCGGGCGAACTTTTTTACTTTTTTTTTGTTTGTATCTAGGAATGTAAGTAATATTCAGTAAATATGCATGCAAAATGCATGATGAATATGTTCGAATGAGAGAATTACGCGATTTTTTGCGGTGATTGAATCCTAAGCCTTCGTCTATTACTACGACTAGCCGGTTTCTTGGCTTTAAATGCAACATTTCGATCATTCTATCTACTGCTCTGTCCTAACTTTCCCGTTACAACAATTCCAGATATTTTCTTTATCGATAGAAAATTGTAGGAATAATAACGCATCATTCTATCTGTCTGTTCTCGAATGTGCAATCGTTGCACGGTGCACCGCCAATATCAAGAGTGTGTTGTGGCGTGAGGTTACCATCGGTCATCGGCACACTTACCTACACACGCAACAAAGTCGCCTATGTAGACATTGAACTTCACTTGTTTGCGCTGCCACCGCTTCTGTTCGCGAATTCGCTGACGACGGAAGAGATAGAATCGGATTTTTGGTGACGTTTACATGTAATTGTTGGAGAGGTATTATTTTTACGGATCACATTTAGCCAAGCATTAGTATTCGTGATTTTCAGACGTGTTTTGTTGGTTGATCGTAGGGCCGTATCGTCAGTCGTTCCTACAATTGTAGGACACCTTTATGGCCTCCTTGATTTTCATAGTCTTTTCTGTCTTTCCGATTTCTACTGATTCATGTCAGCATCAGACCCCTCCTATTGTGAAGCTGTTTTCTTTTTGAATTGTAAAACATTTCAGGCTGAAATAACAGATGATATAAATCAAGCATGAACAATTTGATGCAAATATATATACTAAGTGACATATAAATCCGAACACCCAGTTTAAATGGTTTTATTTTAATAAAAGTTGGTGAATGTATTTATCTTACTGTAAATAACAAGTGAAAAAATTTTCAGCCTTATCAGTTGGACATTCCGGTTTTTATACTGCTTTTTTTTAATTCACTAACGCTGTAAAATGAATATTTCAGCCGCAGTAAAGAATCAACGTTGGCGGATTTTGGTTCTTGACATCCTTTACGATCGGTTACGATGCCTAGAGTACGGAGACGATTTCATCAACTTAGTGAGTTTGATAGGGGCCGTATAGTGGGACTTCGGGAAGCTGGACTTTCTTTTCGGGCAATTGCAGATAGAGTGCAAAGAAGTGTAGACACTGTGGTTAGGTGTTGTCAGGCATGGCTTCGAGAAGGCCGTACGCAAAGAGCAAGGGGCACTGGACGCCGCCGTAGAACAACAGACCGTGAAGATCGCCGCCTAAGATTATTGGCCTCAAGGGACCGTTTCTACAGTACCAGGTCCATTGCAAATGAATGGTTTGCAGAACACGGAAGACCTATTGGCATGCGAAGTGTTTACCGACGAATGAGAAGTTTTGGCTTGTTTTCATACCGGTCACACTGGGTCCTCCCTTTAACTCGAGAACACCGATGTAATCGCCTTGAGTGGTGCAGACAACGGTCACTCTGGGATCAGGAATGGAACAGTATTGTCTTTAGTGATGAGTCTCGATTTTGTTTAGGCATGCACGATGGTCGTGCCAGGGTTAGAAGGCGACGTGGTGAAAGGAGGAATCCACCTGATCAGAAGCATGCCTAGGCGCGTTGGAGAATGCGTAGCACATCAGGGTGCATCCACACATTATTAAAGGTCAAAGGGCTTTAAAGCATTGCAATCATTTTGAAATTTTTATCATTTACTTATTATGCTTCATTAAGTACTTATACAAAATTTTATTAAAATAAAACCATTTAAAATGGGTGTTCGGATTTATATGTCACTTAGTATATATGATCTTATCTTGTTTTGATTTTGGAACGCATTCCAACATACGACTGATCCATGTACAGGCATTGTCCTTCTATGGATTGAAGATTGAAACATTTATTTACCCATTCAATTTTGTTATTGTTCTTATATAATGGAGTAAATGAATGTCTACTATTACTACCACTACTAACTACTACTACTACTACTACTACTACTACTACTACTACACTACTACTACTACCTATAAAATCTTAGGAAAATGTTTAAATGATCGATTGTAAGAAATATTTTTTCGTTAACGGCTTATTGATCTTTTGATGTTTCAAAACGTATGACTCTAATAACTTACCAACTTTTTACCACAAACTGTTGCATCTTAGAATCGATTTTAATTATCAAAAATTATAAATTCCTTAATGTTGTAAATTGAGACATTTTGAAGAAATTCTGTTTACCCATTGTTATGCATGGAACAAGGTGAGGCGTTTTTAAAATATTCACAACTATACAGCGTCTTCCTTTTCTGAGCCACAATTCAAATTATCACTGCTTAGATGGATTGTGCTTTTCTTTATATCATCCTTGGCTAGGGCTTTTTATAAGTAGCACATTTACGTGATATGTCTATGGTTTTGACGGTAGGGATTTTGTCTGAAAAATTTTCAAAGTTTGACAGCCCACGTATTCACCATATTAATGGATGGACTTTTGCGTCACATTTTTGTTGCCCTGAATTTCGACATAACGAATCATATACTGAGTGACAAAAAATGGTAAAACTCAACAGAAAAACCTGACCATTTTATCACTTGTTGTTCATGGCAAGATGAATAGATATGCAACAATTTTTTGAATTCTAATAAACATACGTAGGTGTTTACCTTTTTTTGCCACTCAGTATATGTTTTGATACAGCAAACTTTGCAAAATTTAAAGAAAAAATATTTCTTACAATCTCTAGCTAGATTTAGATAATATTTTCAAGATTCTATAAGTTTACAATAAAGGTGCGTATACATATGCGAGCCGAGCGGTTCGCGAGCCGCTTGTGAGCAACTTGTTCGGCTAATTGGGACGGGGTTTATGGTTCCAAACGAACTGCTTGTGAGCAGCTCGTGAGCCGCTCGCGACGAGCCGCGGCCTGTCGGTTCGACGAACACAAAGGAATTCGCAGTGCATATTGGGACGAGTTTAGACAAGGTTCGTTGTTTTTCTTTAGCTCGCGAGCGAACTTTATTTTTCTTCAATAAAGTTATGGATTCATGGTCGGAAGAAAAAATATTATGTCTGATAAACGTCTATAAAATCAAAACGTTATTATGGGATCCTAAAAATGAAAATCACTTAAAAAAAATTTGTAAAGAGGACGCTTGGCGGGAAATTGCGGATGAAATGGAAACCACTGTTGAACAGTGCAAAAAGAAAATAATAAGCCTCTTAGCTTCTTTCCGCCGGGAGAAAAATAAAACAAAGCAGGGGACTAGTACAGGAAAAGGTAAATAAATGAAATAATAAGATAAATTAGTTGTGTTTTATTTAAATAATAATACAAAATATTTTTGCTAATACTAATTTAATTTTTAATTCAACTAAATAATATGTTTTTAATTAAGTTAGTTCACTTGCCGTATATAATTTTAATCTCGATTTTAATTTTCAGGAAGAGATGAAGTTTATTGCAGCAGATGGTTTGCCTATGAAGCGTTTAGGTTTTTAGAAGACAGAGATTTGCCACGAAAAAGACTTGCTACGGTAAGTAATTATTGTTATAAATTCAAGCATATTGGTCCTGCCATTCTAGAGCTCCAGTATTTATAAAATAATTAGCGATTTCATCTCTAACTTTTGTACAATAGTTTGTGGGTCTTCGAGGAATATTTCGTATAGGTACCATAGACGTCATATCTCCTTCATTTCTCCATGATCCCTCAGTTAAATTTCCATTAACTTCATAGTCTAATGTGCCAAAAGGGGTATAAATATTTGGTGAGTGTTTTCTGAGATAATTATGCAAAAGAATGACTGTCATTATAACCCACTCTGCTTTTGCAGGCTCTAAGAGCATTGGTTTTCTTAACACCCTAAACACTGCACTTGATATACCGAATGTGTTTTCAACTATGCGACGACCCCTACTCAAACGATAATTGAAAATTCGTTGAGGAGTTCCTTTTGGAAAGTCCCCAGTAAAGGGCTTCATGAGATTTTCGCTTAAAGCAAATGCGCTAGCGTCGGCAAAAAATACGGTATTTGCATAGAACATCCTTCTAGTTCTTCTGGTGTTTGGAAGTCCTAGTTTGTTTTCTGTAAGCTGCTGATATAATTTGCTTGCCTTAAAAACCCCCCATCAGAAATTCTTCCTTGGCAGCCTACGTCAGCAAACATAAAGTTATAATCACCACCAACCAGTGCGAAAAGCACAATACTAAAATTGGATTTATAATTGAAAAATTCGGTACCCGATTTCACTGGTGCTTGTAAAACAACGTGTTTTCCATCTAGGGCACCAACACAATGAGGAAGGTTCCAACGAGTTTCAAATATGTTGCTAACTTGTTTCCAAGCTGTGGGAGTCTTAGGTAGCTGAAATGAAATAACAATTATTAACGTTGACCTGTTTTATTCATTATTAGCTTATCTTAATAATTTATTTATTTAATATCATTTTTCTAACTTCTTTGGTGTATTTTGGAATAAGATAAAACCACCCTTCTCAAATAATAAAAAAGGAATCGCTAATACTATGTTAACACAATTTCATTACAAAATTTCATTATTTATAAACTACATATAAAGTTACTGAAAATGTATTTAATAGGAGCTGGATGATGTTAACGATGCTGCCCTATCTTCCGAACAAATGGAACAAGAGGCGATACCAGAGACACCTACGCTACCATCTACCTCCAAATCTACAAAGCGATCAAAAACAAAACAAGATAATGTTTCCTCTCCAATAATGAGTGATGCATTTCAGATTTTGAAGAATGCTGCGAAAAAAATGGACAAAGAGCCAACTCAACCCAGTGAAATAGATTTATTTTTTAATTTTGTTGCTGCAAAGGTTCAAAAATACCCCCCTCCAATACAACAGACAATTCAACATGCCGTTTTTGACCTTATTATTAAAGCTGATAGAGGTTTTCTTAATCCGACTTCAATTCAATCTTACAATGATTCTCAACCTACTTCCTACATACAGTCACAAGCTACCAATCATATCAATTCACAACCTACTTCTTCGATGTATTCCCAACCTACTTCACATAATCTATATTCTCAATCTTCTGAAACTTATTATTCACAACCTCTGCAAGTAATAACTGTTCCTGCAACTTCTGAACCATCGTTGTCCAACCCATCATCGCTACAATCACCTGTTTCGTCACTCACATCAGAAAATTATGAAGATTTTGTGTAACGTTTTTGAGTTCTATTTTTTGTTTGTTAACTTAGTGGTGGAAATTACTTTAAAGTGAAGAAAAATATATTTTTGAATTACACACAGAATTTGTATATTAATGTTGTTACCTTGATATATCCCTGCAATTCCTTAATTAGTGCAGCACAAACTTGGGGTACTACACGCCCAATCGACTGCTTGGAAATTCTGAATAGATACTGTAGGCTAGTATATGAATCTCCCGTGGCAAGAAACCGAAGTGTTACGGCTAACCTAGAATATTAATTTAAAAAAATTGTTAAAAAGCAAAGCTACCTGTCCACGGTACACCGACTTACCTATCTTGGGCAGAGATTGGAGTACGAAAATAAGTCTCCTGTTTTGAAATATGGGGTCCAATCCTTTGCAGCAGATTCTCAGTCAGTAGGTGTCATTCGAGTGAAATTTTTATACTGTCCGCTTATTTCTTGCGACTTTAGGTCCATTAAAATTCCCGTACCACTGCGTTTCTTGAATAAATTAGTACGCCACCAACGTCGTTGTCTTCTCTTTTTTTATTTACATCAGCCATAACTAAAACTGCAGGCACTCATCACTAAAATAGTATAATTTTCGTTTCGCGAAGCCATACTGCATTTGTCGACTGCGATGTTTGTTTGCGTTTGGTGCGCTGAATCATCGCTGGAGCTTCGCGGAAAAAATTTCAAAAAACCACCATCGAGCGGCTCACAAGCGGCTCGCGAACCGCTCGGCTCGCATATGTATACGCTCCTTTAAGATACTCAAAACTGGAATTACAATCAGTTACAAAGTTTGCGAGTGCCAGAAGAAAAATATCAAATTTTTGTTTTACTTTTGTAGCATCTTCGTTTCTTCACGATGAACTTATTTACAGCTTTTCATAAAGGTCTAACACAATGCGTTAATGATATGTGTCTGTTTAAAAAGGGGCTTTAAATCATTATTTTTCAACATACAAGTCAGCCAAAACCGCGATTTTTTTAAATTTATTTTTTAACCCAGCTGCTCGCGAGATTTGCGTATATATCAATACTTATGTTGTTCTTGGTGTCCTGAAACATCTCCAATAGAAAAATCCACCTCAAATCGTTGTTCGCCTAGTTTAAGGTGCATTTCACTGTTTTATGATGTATGTATCTATACTAAGTGACATATAAATCCGAACACTCAGTTTAAATGGTTTTATTTTAATAAAATTTTGTATAAGTACTTAATGAAGCATAATAAGTAAATGATAAAAATTTCAAAATGATTGCACTGCTTTAAAGCCCTTTAACGTTTAATAATGTGTGGATGCACCCTGATGTCCTACGCATTCTCCAACGCGCCTAGGCATGCTTCTGATCAGGTGGTCAATGTCCTCCTGTGGTATCTCATTCCAGGCAACCACCAACTCCTCTCGAAGTGCTTCTAGAGCCTGAGGAGGACGTTGCAAATTGAACAATCTCCTACCCATCATTTCCCACACGTGCTCAATTGGGGATAAGTCGGGAGATCTTGGTGGCCATGGTAACAATGTGACATCATTATGTTGAAAGAAGTCTATTGTGACTCTTGCAACATGTGGTCGGGCATTATCTTGTTGGAAAGTTGGATCTGCCAGGGTGTCAAGATAGGGTAAAAGATGGGGTTCTAGAACTTCGTGGATATAACGCTGCGCGTTCATGTTACCTCTGATGAAGATTAAAGGTGACCTGGAACCATAAGCTATATCACCCCAAACCATAACTCCAACAGTGTGATGAACATGTCTTTCAACAAAAAACTGTAGATTCCTCCTTTCACCACGTTGCCTTCTAACCCTGGCACGACCATCGTGCATGCCTAAACAAAATCGAGACTCGTCACTAAAGACAATACTGTTCCATTCCTGATCCCAGAGTGACCGTTGTCTGCACCACTCAAGGCGATTACGTCGGTGTTCTCGAGTTAAAGGGAGGACCCAGTGTGGCCGGTATGAAAACAGCAAAAACTTCTCATTCGTCGGTAAACACTTCGCACGCCAATAGGTCTTCCGTGTTCTGCAAACCATTCATTTGCAATGGACCTGGTAGTGGAGAAACGGTCCCTTAAGGCCAATAATCTTAGGCGGCGATCTTCACGGTATGTTGTTCTACGGCGGCGTCCAGTGCCCCTTGCTCTTTGCGTACGGCCTTCTCGAAGCCATGCCTGACAACAAATAACCACAGTGTCTACACTTCTTTGCACTCTAACTGCAATTGCCCGAAAAGAAAGGCCAGCTTCCCGAAGTCCCACTATACGGTCCCTATCAAACTCACTAAGTTGACGAAAACGTACAGGTCTCCGTACTCTAGGCATGGTAACCGATGGTAAAGGATGTCAAGAACCAAAATCTGCCAACGTTGATTCTTTACTGCGGCTGAAATATTTATTTTTAGAGCGTTAGTGAATTAAAAAAAGCAGTATAAAAACCGGAATGTCCAACTGATAAGGCTGAAAATTTTTTCACTTGTTATTTACAGTAAGATAAATACATTCCCCAACTTTTATTAAAATAAAACCATTTAAACTGGGTGTTCCGATTTATATGTCACTTAGTATATTTTGAAAAGCCCCTTATACTAATTTCTTCTCATTTTCTTGATCTGACCTATCCTTATCTAGCGTCCGGTTGAATATAATGTTCTACAAATAATAACTGCTAACCTATCCTGGCACTTTTGACTTCCTTTAAACAATATGTATGTATAATAATCCTCTCCAAGGCATGAATGAGATCCTTTTTTTATACATTGTTCAAACTCCCATTGTTGAAAAGGATATTAGAGGCCTGTCCACACACCACCAGCTGAAGAAAAAAAACGAAAATGGGTCATTCCGCAGCATTTTGAAAATGTATCCGACCATCTGTCGTTGCACCTTGTGGCACTGATTTGACAGTCGCCTCTACAAAAAATCATATTATAATAGTACCGTTAGGGATAGAACGGCCCTAAGCCCTCTTGGATGCAGAGTACTGGGTCAGGTATAAATGCCATGGTCTTCCGGTTACAACATGTTCCAGATTTGCTTACGGTATATTTGATTTCATAGGGCCGTGTTTTTTGTATATATTAGATTCCGTTTCTCTGTTCGTTTCATGGGTTTCACGAATTAAATTTTTCAAGACAAAGGAAAGAACTACCAGATGAAAACATAATATGTGTCTATGAATACAAGTCAAAAAATGTATTGCCAAAATACAAAGTGGATTTTTACCCTATTGATGAATGACACTGTTTCTGAGTAGAACATGATTTTTTTACTTCCAATGCCAAAACTGTAATAGCGAAGAAAATTTAACTGAGATATCATGCTTTCTTTACGTTATATGTATATAAGAGTATATATGTATTTATTTTAACAGTGAGTAGATCTGATCAAAAGAAATGTTTTTCCTTTACCATTTTTCTGGTAAAATTAAAGTAACAAAGTTATAGCCCTTTGGAAGTTTGAGTACCGCCCTGTCTCAATAATAATATTATGTACTCGTGTTTGGCGACAACGGATATAATCCGCCTTATCGGTTCATCGCATCGGAAACAAAAAAGCGAAAGAATTTGGAACGATGTTTTTACAATTATTTGTATACAGTCAGTGTCAGTCGGTAACGCGTGAGTGAATAGTGGTGTCTGTTGCGTGGCTCAAACGAAATCAAAAATGGCACATGTTTACGAAAATGCTGAACTTGTGGACATGCGGCATCACGGACTTATGCGGATCGGTTTCCCAATCGAGTGCAACCAACCCCTCGTGCCTTTGTTAATGTAGTACAAAGGGCTCGTGAATCAGGTGACTTAAGACCTCACAGAGGACGGCATGCCGGTGCTCCAAGACCGCACGATCAAATACAGGTCCGCACTGAACTTGTCGGGAGGATACTTTATAAAACAAGGAAACATTTTTTTTTTAATTTTTTTTTATTTTTACAAACATATTTTGGTTTATCTTCCTTCTACAATCATTATCTGAAAATTAATGACTCAACTTCAAAGTCACCCTGTATATAGAGAGAAAATTATCATGCGGAGAAAGGTATATAACAAAAATAGGAAAATAGTCGACAAAATCCGCAAAAAGTGGATTCGAACAGAAAATAGGATATATTTTGTTATATACCTTTCTCCGCATGATCCTTTTCTCTTTGTAGATCCTTTGGGCTGGAAGTTTACCACAGCAAGTGGCTATAACCGGCCGCGTGGTTGTGGTTATTTGTCGCCTTGAAAATTCGGGGTCTTCTAGCCATTTTATACTACAATGTGTATGTTGGCTCTTGTTGTGGACTTCGTGTGTCTTTTTTTCCTCTCCATCTTTGTTTCCTCTGGTTACACCCGTATCCGGATGTATGGGCATGTGTCTCAACTTTTGTAGTTGCATATGTGCATTCATTTCGGGCCTGATGAAGCCAACCAGCAGAAATACGTATCGCTCGGGTTACCTATCCTATTTTCTGCTCGAATCCACTTTTTGCGTATTTTGTCCACTATTTTCCTATTTTTGTTATATATATATATCACGAAAAATGCCAAGGATGAAAAAGCTTTGTAGTTCTTGAAAATCGGTCTAGCGGCGGCGGAGCTATGGGCAAAAACACGAAAAAATAAAGGTTGTTTAAGCTTTTTTTTTTTTTTGGTTTCAGAGGCTCCTGATCATTTTCAGAACTTTTTTTGTAGGGGTTGAAACTTGGAGGGTTGTAAATGTAAGGTCCGTGGTGTTAGTCATTCTATCATTAAGAAACTTCTGATTCCGGTAACAACGGGAAAATTAAATAATAAATGTTCGATATAATGGGTGATTCAAATTGAGTTTCCACATTACAAATAATTTTTGTTTTGATACGTCACTGAATTTGTCAACGACAACGTGCCATTTGTAACGTCAAACTATAAACAAAACAGTTATGGAGCAACATACGTGAATTTTTTGGCGCACTAAGTCGGCCTTGTGAGAGGACAATTTGGAATTTGGTGTAAAAATTCGAGCTAACTGGATCCTTCGCTAAAATAAAAACCCCCAGGCATGCTCGAAAAGGTCGGTCTAACCCGATTTTTCTTTTGCAGTGGAGTTAATAGTGACTTTTCTTTGGAGTATAAGCAAGTTGTGCAACTTTAGGGTTTTTACTTCACTTTTTTTATAAGAAAACTTACCTAGCAAGTGCTAAATCCCAGTTTGTGGGTCTCTCTATGAGTTGTGGACCTCGAAATTCTCCTTCCAACATCACTCCACACAGCACTTAATAGTAAATAATGGGCACGCCGGTTTTTCACGATTATTCTTCTTAATGCTCTTCGGTCGGCATTTGTGATATTACTTTTTTTCACATATCGTGGCTTAATATTAACTGAACCAGTTACGTTATATCTTCTAACAATATTTCTCACACTGTACCGCGATAAGTCGAACAAAGTTGCAATTTCTGAGTTTGATTTCCCAGAATTGAAAAATTTTATTATCAGTAACCGAA